GATTTGGATGAAAATTGCAGGGATGGTAACCCCTTCTGAGGGCATGAAACTTGGCAGACTTCAAGGAGATAGGTGCAGAGGTTTCTCAGAAACTGCACCTCAAACTGCAAAAAACAAAACTTGTGACACCTGCCATCCAGCACGCAGATCCAGACACCCCCAGGAGGGCTGTGGGGCTGTACCAGACTCTCTCCCAGGTGCAGGACCCCAGATCTGCATCAGATGACAGGAGGCTGCTGCTGCCAGCTGGGACCGGCACTGGGAGCAGCCCACACCCAGTGCCGGGGAAGACTGATGCTGCTGCTTGTTCCAGGCAGCAGCGGCAGCCTCCTGCCATCTGGCCTGGTGGTGGGAGGCAGGGGAGAGCCAGAGCTGTGCTCCAAGCAGCTCTGCAGTCCCATGGAGCTCAGCTGCACTCCTTGGCAGTGGGAGGCAGAGTGCAGACCTGGCTCTCCCCACCTCCCGCCACTGGGCTGCACTCCGACCAGCTCTGCAGCCCCATGGAGCTCAGCCCGGTAGCGGGATGCAGGCAGAGCCAGGGATGTGCTCTGCTTCCCGCTGCCAGGCTGAGCTCCATGGGACTGCAGAGCTGCTTGGAGCATAGCCCTGGCTCTCCCCTGCCTCCCACCACCAGGCTGCTTCAAAACTCGAAATGTTTCTAAACTTTCTAAACATTTTGAGTGCACTCATTTCATTTTGAAGCTGTTTTGAAGCTTTTTGTTTTGTTTCCATTTTGCTGTTTCAAGCTCAAAATGCATTGAGATAGCTTCAAAAACGAAACATTCGGTGAAATTTCACATAGCCCTAATATTTATGTATAAAACCTTAGATGCAAGCATTTTTTTTTACAAAAAATGAGGGTGGGGGCAGGTGGCTCAGTTCCTCCATTGTTGTGCCTCTGCCTGCTGAGGAGGGGGATAAGGCAGGATTCCCACCCCCACCCCCCTACCCTCAACCCAGAAGCAGGGGGGTAGTGTAGTGTGGGATCATTTTGAGTTGGCAGATGATTCCAGGTATGCTATCTGCCAGCATTGCCAAAGGCAGATCAGCCTTCATCACCATGGCGATGCTGCTGCATCTCAGGAAGCAGCACCCCCTGGCTCAGCAGTTCCTCCTCAGCCTAGCACCAGTGGGAACGTGCCCAGAAAGAAGTCCCACTCTTGCTCCAAAGCCCTTGTCCCCATGAAGCAGGGGTAGGCCACCCTGGAGCGGTGGGGGAAAGCCGCAGACAAAGGGGGTCGCATTGCAAGGGTGAGCAAGGTCACCCAGAGCATTGGAGAGACGCTTGTGAGTTCCTGTGCTGTGGAGCCCCTATGCTGAGGCACCCTGCACCCCAGCCAACTGCTCCTTGGTTGGTTGGGGTGCAGGGTGCCTCGAGACGAGGAAGCAGGCTGCCTCCTCAGTGGAGTCCCTGCACTGAGGCATGTGGAGACCCTGTGCTGAGGCACACTACACCCTAGCCATCTGTGGAGCATCTGGCAGGGGTGCAGGGTGCCTCGAGACAGGGGAGCAGGCTGCCTCCACAGTGGAGCCCTGCACTGAGGCACACAGAGAAGCAGCCAGCCTAAGGCTGTGTGCTCCCCCATTTCAAGGCACCCTGAGCCCCAGCCAACTTGGGAGCGGCTGTCTGGGGCACAAGGTATCTCAGCGCAGGAGCTCTGCAGCATATGGAGACAGAGAAGCCTCCCCCCCACATGCCAGTCACTGGCTGGCTGGGACACAGGGTGCCTCAGCACAGGGGATGGTTAGCCCCTGCTGAGGCACCCTTTGCCCCAGCCAGCCTGCTCCCTCCTTCCCTTCCCCACAGCACATAGAGCAGCAGGATATCCTGTCCCACTGAAAAGCACATGGGCAGGGTCATCTACTGTGGCACAAAATGGCAGCACACATTTGTGTCACTACTATTTGTGCTGCTTTAAAGGCATGCTCATGTGGACCTGGCCATAGGGTGTATCCAGACGTTTAGGCACAAGCAGTTTGTGGCGCTGCAAAGTGCCCATAGAGAATGTTAACGTGCCCCGGTAACAAAAGGGGGGGGGCAAAAAGTGGTACAAAGCAATGCCAAAATAGCTTGCTCCAAGCCAAACATGGAGATGGGGGAGCAGACGGCCCAAAGCACCTCCACATGCTTCCCTGTCTCTGCGTGCTGCAGAGCCCCCACACTGTGCCTACATGGAGACATGGGAGCAGCCAGCCTAGAGCTGTTTCTCCCCTGTCTTGAGGCACACTGCGCCCCAGCCATCTGTTCTGCAATTGGCTGGGGCGCAGTGTGTTTCAGCATGGGGGCTCCACAGCAAGCGGAGGAAGACTGGGGAGCAGGCATCTCCACATGCTGCCCCCCAGCAGCCTGCTAGCTAGCATTGCACTGAGGAACTCTGCCCCAGCCAGTCTCCTCCCTGCAGCACAGGGAACCCAGCAGGGAGCTGGGAGAAGCTGGGCACAGCCCACAACAAAGGGCATGTGCAGGGGTGTGCACTGCAGCACAAAGTAGTGGTTTGTGCCACTACTGCTTGTACTGCTGCAAGAACATACCCCTGCTCATCTGGACGTGGCCACAGAATGGAAATGAGTGCATAGCTATGCTCCATGGCAACAGTTCTGACCTTTAGGTAGGGTAAGCGTTATTTAGAGTAGGACTAGGATTAGGCAAGGTCTTGTGACAGTACCTGGGCTATAGTTAAGGCAGGGACCAGAAAGGCTACTCAGGCTCATGCTAAAAGAGGCTGGTATGGCTATTCTAAGACTACAGTGACTCATCATAGGGCTAATGACTAGTAGGCTATGGTTATGGTTACTTCATAGGACTCCCTAAACTGGTGTTTAGGGTTACTTAGGCTCAAGGTCTGCAGGCTAAGGTTATAGCAGTGACTGGTAGTGTTGCCTGGGCTAATATTACCATTACTTAAAGTAGTACTATCCAAGCGATGGTGAACATTAACATATACTAGCTTTGGGTTTCTACTTTGAATAAATTATGGCAGGACTCCCCAGCTTCAAAGGTCAGTGGTATAGCAGGCTCATATGCAGTTCTGCAGGCTAGGGTTAGGGTTTTTCACAGTAATATAACCAGGGTTATAGTTAAGTTTAGCTATGTTAGGTCTCCCCAAACTAGGATTAGAGTGCCTGCTGGCACCACCTGAGTTATGAATAAGACAGTTGAGGTTCCAGTACTGGAGTAAGAATAACCCATTATGGCTGGGAAGGCTATAGTTAGGAGTAATAATAGGAAGGCCCTCCAGGCTAGGGGGTTGTGCAAGGGTTGAGAGGCCTGCCTGGGCAATAAATGGTTGACTCATGAATGGATCCTCCAGGCTAGGGTTAGGGATACTAAGGGGAGGATTCCGTGGGCTAGGATTGGATCCCACAGTCTACCTAAACACTAACACCCCTAGAGCAATTTTTAGGGTTACTAAGAATAGGTGTCCTCCAGCTAGGGTTAGAGGAGGGATAGGCAGGGATTCCAGGTAAGGATTAGGACACGGCTGGAAGATCTGTGTGAACTAGGGCAAGGATTAGTCATGAGACAAATTAGGGTTACTCAGGGAAAATCTCTCTGGTTATTTAGGGTTACTGTCCCCAAACTGGGGTTAGGATTACATAAACCCCTCAACCTAGAGTTGATCAGAGTAAGGTCCAAGGGACTGTGCTTGGAGCACATAAAGATCCAGGTCTCCAGGTATTATGATCAATCATGGTAGGGGTCCCAAAGCTAGAGATGGCATTTTTTTCTGTAGGGTACGATTACAGCATGGGGTACCATAATCTAAGGCAGGTACTAGTAGCACTATGCAAACTAGGATTCAGACAAGGTCCCTTCCAGCCCTAATGTCTATGAAATCTATGAAATTGGCTGCCTGGGCTACAGCTAAGGGGCTAAGGCTATGGCAGACTTATATACAGATCTTCAGCTAATTGTTAGTGTCAAGGCAGACATGGTAGGGCTCCTCAGGCTAGTTCCAGGGTTAATCAGGACTTAGTGTGCTAGGGTTTGAGTTAATCAGTGCAGGTAGGAGAATGATTATGGCAGAAACAGTAATTTTCCATGCAAAAGTTTGAGTTAGAGCTTTTAGGGTGTCCCAGGCTAAGGTTTATAATTCTTTGGCTAAGAATACGTGGGCACACTTTCCCAAGTTAGGACTTTTAGTGTTCTCTGGGCTAAGGTCTGGATAACCTAAGGTAAGCCTCTCCCAAAACAGGTTTAAGGACTGAGCCTGGGAGGGCTAAGATGAAAGCGTTATGTTAGAAGTGACAGGGCACCTACAATGGTATTACAACAAGCGTAAAGATGGTTTCCCAATCAGGCTAGGGTTGGATTACTCACATTAGTGCTCCCCAGTCTAGGTTGCTTAGGATAGGGTCACAGACTACAGGAGGTCCCCGAGGCCTAAGGTTTGGGACATCATGCCCCTCAAGCTAAGGTACCCAAGCTAGTCTGCCCATCTCCTTGGGACAGGGGCTAGTAAGGCTACACAGAGTGAAGTTTACTTCAGTTACGGTCCAGGATTCTTTACAGTAGGTCTCACATGGTAAAGGGTTAACATTTCTTTGACAACTCTAACCTCAAGCACCACAAGAAAATTCCATTAAGCATTATTCCATTGCCTAACATGCTAGACCATATTAATGAAACAGTGACCAAAATAAACATTCCCTGATTGGTGGTATGGTAATGGGGAGAGTGGGATCAATCACTTTTTCACAGCATCATCCAACATCCAAAATCTAATCCAAAGATAGTGATAGCTCTACTCCAGTGAATGATGGCTACAAAAGAACCAAGTACACATGTAGAGTTTCAAAAGAAATTGAGGAACTGACTTTCTAATTTAACAAATTCTTGAAACTTTAATTCCCTTATAGATTTTTCATAAAAACTAACAACCAATTTCTACATTATTGTGATAAACTGACATGAATAAGGAAATTTAAGATTAACTGGAAAAAGGCAAACACTTTCTTCAACTTAAAATACCAAAATTTAAGACAATAGTGATTTATTATCTACCAGATCACACTTTACTTTTTTTTTTTTTTTTTTTTTTACAAGTTCAAAACAAGTGGAAAGATCTATACAATTGTGATACTTCATAAAAATGCACTCACCACAAAACATGGTAGTTGTTAGAGCAAACACACTTTTCAAGAGCTTGGCTGATTTTAAAAATAATCCTAAGAAATACACAATGTTCATAAAAATACAGTAAAATGCACTTTTCCCACCTCAATAAATATATTTTAACTCTGCATCCATTTTGTGACTTGAGTCACCAGAGAGCTCTTAATGAAGAAAAAGACATAGTATAATTTCTTCTTTTAGGCTCTTACATTTATTGCAATTACATCCAGAACAATAAGCCAGTAGATAAGAATTTTGCTGTCTTTCATTTTTGCTTGGGAGGGTAGAGGAATGGGAGAAGGTGGGGTAAAACTATAAATGTTATTCCCAAATTGATCCATACCACATAAACCATTCCAAAGAACAAACTCGGTTTAAAAAAAAGATTTTCTAGAAATTAGATCACATTTAGAATAATAGAGTCTATAATCATGGTTTTTAAAACCTCTGTTTAATATGTTTTTTTTTAATCAAACAGTTATGTTAAAAATAGAGGTTTTAGAATATCTTTAAAAGAAACAGCTAAAATAAAAGTGCTGTTAGAAAATTGTACCCCCCCACTTTTTAACACATGTTGCAAACTTTAACACATTTACTTGAACTGTAATTCTATGATTCACACACACACAAACACACACTTACTTATATGAATGTATATCCCTGATCATTTTAAGACATTTTCCCAATGGCTTAGTTAAAATATGTTTAAAAGTCTATTTCAGCTGAAGTCACATTTTGCTTTCCCACAAATATAGCAATTTTTTTTTTTTAGAAGACAGTTCTTTTTTTCTGTGATACATTTTTTTAAGAATGTCATTAGCACTAACAGCATAAGAAATAGTGTCTTACACAGTGTATATCCTGTGACAATAAGTTAAATATTACTGTGCCCAGTGAATCCTTCTCATATGCAAAATAATCATTTCACGGTTTTCTAAAAAGCTGAAAGACAGTTCTTCAAGTGTCCTTGCATGTGAGCCTCTCCATCTGTTCATAAGTCATTATCTGAAATAGATGAGTAAGACTGAAATAGTTAAAAATACCCAAGATGAACCTGAAGGGTAGAAGAGGCAAACACACCAACAAATAGTTGCGACTTCTCCAAATCATTTGCAGCACTTATAATTCCTCCATTTCAAAATGTGTGTTAAAGCTGTTTGCCATGGATGTATGTTCAAAGATCCTTGTCAGGCTGGGTTTCAGTAGCTCCACTGAATGACAGGACAGGTGTTGTGAGGTGTCATTCTTCAAGGACATCATTTGATCTGTCCCAGGATCTCTTCTATCATAATACAGAGCCCATAGCAAAGTAATAGTGAGGATCATAGCCAGAATCTGTGTAACTCCAATAGAGATTCCTAGAAACCGCAGCACTTGCAATTGTTTTGTTCCTCTCAAGAAAGTGTACATTTTTTTCCCACAACCCTGTGAAACAAAATAAACAATTAGTCAAAATTACTTACATCTTCCTCATACTTCCAATGGTTTACCTTCCTTTAGCTAATATTGGCCATCTGATGCATCATGGTATATCTCCATTCTTCTTCAAACCACACTTTAAAATTACTTTGCAGGCCTCTCTTCCTCCCCCACTAACCCAATCCTATTTCAATGTGTTCTCACATACTAATGGCTTTAAAGCATCTAACAAGCTCCCTGTGATCTGCTTTATACTTTACCACTCCAAAGCCCTGCTCATCTAGTCTACATGCCTATCAACAGTATGGGTTTTATAGGAAAATCAAATAATTTCCAATATTTAAATCTGCTTCACTAAATTCTCTCTTATTCATCATTTTATCTAAACTACAGATTTAAGGTTTTTAAGTTTGCTACAACTATCATTATCTTTTAATCCTGAAATCAACTTTATTTTAATATCCTTTTGATTTTCCAGAACAACACATTTTTGTAATACCATGGACAGAAATTAAAAGAACAGTCTAAATAATCTACAAATTGCATAATCTATTCAATGTTTCTTCAGAGTTTTCTTTTCTACTGTATTATCTACATGTATTATGCATTAACTTTTACTTCAATAGAAAATGGCTACAGAGCAGAAAACAATGTTACATTCAGGCTTTACAGTCACAGTACTAAACCAAAAGGTCTTTCTGACTGTAGAAGTATTCAAAGAAGTAACCTTTACAGAAGGATTCTTGATCAGTTCCTGGAAAATACTGGGTACAGATAGTACTATTAATCAACAAATACATGTTTTGCTTGTCCCATTTTTTATTCATAAACTAGCAGCCTCTGTTCATTGCAAAATAATAACAAATTAATTCATTTAGAGTTGATCCTCAGAGCTCCTCATTCCAAATAGCCAGATACAGATGCTTATCTGTACACAGAAGCTGTTTTGCGATTTTTAGATTGTGATACCTTCAAGTCCTCAACTATTTCATTACTCAGCTACTTTGTCCAGGGCCAAATCTGCTATTTCTACTTAAATATAGTAATGCGCTCAGTTTATAACATTTTTTATAGATTGCTGAATATAAACTTTTAGAAACCATAACTGAAAAGTGACAATGATACCAGTGATACTATGAAAAATTGCACCAAAACTTTTCAGTATATAATGAAATAGTTTGGAACATCTTCCCATCATGCATAACACTATCATCCATCTCACTTAACTCCCTGTTCAACAAATCATGCTTTCTCCTCTGTGACATAGTGCTGTTATGGCATTCAGGGCTGTTAAAGCATTTAATCCTGGAGACTACATCATCATTTTATTTCTATTGTTCTGTTCTAAGGTTTTTTTTATTATTATTGCAGGAACACCTAGGAAGCCCAGTGCCGTAAAAAACAAGGAAAAAATAGCTTTTGCCCCAGATAGCTTACATACTAAATATCATATTAGTAAGATTGCTGCATGGACTGCCTCTCCTTCCATTTGTGATAACAGGGCATCTCTGCATGAATACCCAATGACTGGTACATGGAAAAAGTACTACAGGAGAAGTACTACATTTTAAAAACGGCTGAAAACAAATTCAAAGAGCCAGCACCATCTGACCAACCAGTTCTCTACAGACCACAGCAAATGTCCTACAGTTCTAGAAATGCCAGTAATCACTGAACAGGATCTCTCAGACCAAACAAAAATATCCACTGATGAGTCAGACTGTGCTCTTTCTGCAGAAAAACTATTGTGAGATGCAGAGGAGCCTTGCAGAGATTTCTGTAAACCATTTCCACTTATGAAAGAGGATTCTGGGGAGGGGGTAGAGAGAATGAGGGGTCTCATGGAGCTGTAGGAATGGAAGCTGTCCTGTGGGAAATCCTATCAACTCCACTGCTTTCTTTCTAACAACATGGCTTCACTGAGTCACTGGCCACATCCTTCAGCAGCTGCTCAGTAGAACCAATGGGAGGTAATACAACTCCAAGCTGCTCTCTGTCCAGATTTCCACTTTGAATCAATTCCGGGGCTTACCAGGAATAGTGCTGGGGAGAGTGGCAGATCAGCTGTTTCAGTCTAGCCCGTACCCATCCTACCACTAATTTTTACAGAGCTTGATTTTTATAGAGATTTAGGAGGGTCTTCAGTACAGCACAAGAAAGTGAACACTCAAAGGCAGAGATCTGCACAGGACAGTGCCATGGAAGCACAAAAAGAGACAGTAGCAGTTGGAAAAAAATCAACAACCCACCGGACTGATCATGTTCAAAATTTTATTTCTGTGATATAACCTTACTAAGCTATTTGAAACAGTCTTCATATGATATCTGAGCAATGGCAAAAAAAAAATAAGTCTCCAAACACTGAGCATGATCCTGTTAGCATTTCAATCATGCTAAAAGGTTCCAGAAACCAATCTTTATTCAAAATGCCACAGTGTTAAGTTTGCTTGATTAAAAGCCTGATTCTACACAAGCTCCAGAACTCCCATTGAAGTCACAGGGCTCATAGTTAGGATCTGAATTCAATTCCCACATTCTGCAAAAAAAGTTTCAGAATGCACTCAAGTACTCAGACATCCTTCTTGTGCCAAGCACATTAACAAGACACAGACATTTCACAGGTTCATCCTGTGAACAACAACACAGATAAGACTCAGACAAGAAAAGAAAACAAGTCTGTTGTTTTTTTTTTAATTTGAAAACTAGACCTTTGCAGCAAAATACTTTTAACTGAACTTGATGCAGGCATTTAGGCATCCTTTCCCTCTGCTAAGATGCACGGTTGTGATAATACTGCTTTCCAAATTTGTTTTTAATTGGAAAGAAATTGGCTGTATTTTAATACTTTTTAGATAAAGCTGAAAGACTAAGGTACACGCTGGTCGCAATTTAAAAAATGCTCACCCACAGCAGTATTCAAATTCAGTTCATTTGCAGCCTAAACAAAACTACCATTAATGAAGAACAATAGCATTAATCCCTCCATCTCCTGCAAAACAGACATATAACTGAGACAAATTATACCAGATCTATCTAGGCTGTCTCCTTCCACTTAATGATGCTATTGCATTTCTGCTCTGATTCACATTCAAAATCAGATTCTAAAACAAAAGAAATATCAAGCCATCTCTGTTTTCCCCACATGTATATGCTTTATTTATGCTTAATAACACTGCTCTTAGATGGTAGCTTAAAATTAATAAATGCATAAACATACTCAGGAACAAATCCCATGTTAGTGACAAACCAATGCCTCCATAACCATTTGTAATGATCATTCAGTATGGTATTGATGTTTCAGGTTTACAAAGTTATCAATTAAGGGTTCTACTCGCATCTACTATACCACAATTTTAAACCTATGGTAGTTTAAAAGGGCCTTAAAGGGGGCGAGGGCACTTTTACTACTGCTTTAATGGCAGAAATAGTGTTTGGTTATTGAATCAGGTTTTGGAAACTTACTTCTATGCTAAAAAATGACCATATACAATATCATCAGCTTACTCCACAGATCTACTTCATACATTTATTTCGAATGGTACTAGGTTACAACAAGGAAAGAATTTTTTCTGCAATTTTGCCTCCCTGAAGAGTTCATCTTTTTGATTTTTGTGCCTGGTCCTTTAATTACTTACCATGACTTAGACAACCTTGATTTGCTAGGGAAAGTTCTACTATCTATGATGGCCAACAGAAAAATCTAATATTCGCCACATCCAGGCCCTATATTTCTAATGGAAGAATTGCTGCTCTCCCAGTATAAACTGCAAGTGTTCAATGTTCATTCAATTTCTCCTGTGGGAAACATGCCCCCTTTAGGAGAACGATCTAGTTGTGAAATTGAAAGAACTCCCCTGCAAGAGAAACTCTCTTACAAGACTGAAGTCTGGTCTAGTCCAGGAGGGAAGTATTGCTCCCTGCTCATCCTTTAGACTGGTCTGACGGAATGAGGGGAGCACAGCAGAGCAAAGCCCCCTGTCCACTCCTCAAACTGGGAACTCCAGTCTGAGGAGCAGGTAGAGAGCAAGGATTAGCTGCTCTTCTGCTTTGATCACAGTCCGCTCCTGAACAACCTCATTCCAAACATGTTTCAGTAAAAACCCTTCTATGTTACACTTTATATGCTTGGAACATACCAGTAACATGGACAGGAGACAGTTTGAAATATAATTTGAAATATTCAAGCATTTTCTCTCTCTACCTCTTGATAAAGGTCACTAAGGTCTTCATGATGTGCCTGCTTGGAACATCCTGGGAACTCTCTAACACAACAGGAGTCAGGAGGCCAGTCCATCTCTGTCATTTCCAGCCAGTCAGTGAAGTACACTACTCCACAGCACTTAAACTGCAAAGGAAAGATTAGCCAGGATGAGTAATTACACTATGATGCTCCTTGGTCATAAAAACTATTCAGCAAACAACCTTATCAAATACAAATTAAACCTATTTAAATCATTTGCATGAACCCAACATATATGGGATACTACTGGTTTTCTCTGGCAGCCATGTTTTATTGATTACTTTACTGTGCCCAGAGATCTAACTAAAATAAGATGGAGATAGAAGTAGCCAATAGCCAGTTACATTGCACTGCAATCTGTCCTTTAAGGCTAGGGACAGGAATTACACGAACTGGTATAAGTGATGATCATAAACTAGTTCAAGTCTGTAACACAACAGAAGTTCAGTGAACATAAACTGCTTTCAAAATGGCCAAAACCAGTTTAAGATAAACCTGGATGGATGTAGTTTCAGACTTAGTTGATTTAGGCTAAATTGTTTTACTGAACTTTTGTCCCAGATCCCCTCCAAATTCAAATTTAATTCACATTCCCTCAGCATCCCAGGATGTTTTGTACTTCCCTGCAACCTCCACCCCTCCTCCCTTGCAAAGTGAGCAGGCTAGCTTTGGCCCAAACTGTCTGCTCCAGTGGAGCAGGGAGGCAAGCTCTAGCCCCCTCCAGCTTCTGGCCTGGGCTACTGCAGGCATGTGGCTACATTTCCAGAATCAAAAGTGAATGTCTGTTCACATGCTCATCAGTTCAATCTACACAGCTTAAACTAACCTGCAAAAATTGAATCGATTCAACCTCAGGCTATTTGACTATCGTTACTTAGCCTTATTCTCAACCAATTTGCCAGATGGTGCTTCAGAGAAATCATCCCATCAAGTATTACTGTTGTCCCTATAATGGGGAGAATAACAAAGCCCTACTGGCATGGAGTATCCCTGCAAAAATAGAACAGGCTATGGGTAAATCTGGATGAGAATGGAGACAGCATGCACAGGAAAAGATTTGTCAGAGAATGTAAAGGGGGAAATGAAAGAAAGGAAAGAGTAAAGAACTAAATAATCTAAGGTAAGACACTAAAAAAGAAAAGAAAAATGGAAAAAAGTCACTTTAGTAGGAACTCTTACAGCAACAGAAGACCCTCAGAATCAACAGGAAGTGTAACTTGTATTCTTTCATCAAAATGAAAGAAACAAATTTACTACCAAAAAATTTGCAACAGAAAAATGTGTTTTTCCAGGCTGTATTCAAGCCAGAGGGTTGAAAAGTGTTGGTCTCATACAATCTCTCTGGGTGCCTATACACATGTTCCGGGGAGTGGGGGAGGGGAGGGAGTGCAGAAGGTGGGGCATTTGAAAATGCCTGTATTGTCTTGTGTATTCAGTGTCCCACACTTCAAAATACCAGCGAGGGCACTTTAAAGCTTGTTCAACGAGTTTTAGTTAAGCACCCACAGTGCTATTCTGAAACATGGGGATGTTGAATACATGTGACCGTGAGGCTATTGAAGCGTCCCAAATAGAACACATCAGAGCAGGTGTCCTGCCTGTGTAGAGGCACCCTCTATGACCCACTCCTTTGCAATGGATAAATACCAGACACCATTCCTACGTTCTTCTCCAACATATCTTGGCTTGACCACCACTTCCTCTTCTCTTTGTTTTCTATCCATTTTAGATTCTCTGTTCCATGGGTGTCAAACATATGGTCCATGGGCTAGATACAGCCTGCAGAGACAGGTCATCCAACGCAGAGACTTGATGGGGGGACATGAACTTCCTGTGGCTACAGCCAAGTGCCCAGGCAAGAGCCATAGTGCTGAATCCCCAGCACCACTATGGGAAGGAGCCCAGCACCATGACTTGTTCCTCTGGCAACGGCCAAGCACCCAGGATGCCCGCCTCTTCATGCCAAGTCCCAGAATAGAAGTGAGGGTGGTCCATAGGCCCATTCCAGCCTGTGGGACTGGCCTACCCATGGACTGATTCTGCCCCACAGGGCCAAATGAGTTTCCTAGATTTCATAGACATTAGAGCTGGAAGGGACTTTGGAAAATCATCCAGTCCAGCCCCCTGACCCAGGGGCAGGAAGTCAGCTGGGGTCAAAGGATCGCAGCAAGATAAACGTCCAAATGTTTCTTAGGAGTTCAGGTGGCAGTCTGTTCCAGGCCTTGGGGGCTCAGTCAGTAAATAAGTTCTTCCTTATGTCCAGTATGAAATGGTCTGGGAGGAGTTTGTGACTGTTTGAACTTGTCATCCTTTGGGGCACTCTGGTAAACAGACATTTCCCCAGATCCTGATGCACACCCCTTATATACTTATAAGCAGCCGCCAGATCCCCCCTGAGCCTGCCCTTTTCCAGGCTGAAGAGTCCCATGCCTCTCAGCCTCTCATCATAAGGCCTGTTTTCCTGCTCTCTGATCATGTGCGTGGCTCTCCTCTGGACTCTCTCAAGCTTCTCCACATCCTTTTTAAATTGTGGAGCCCAGAATTGGATGCAGTACTCCAGCTGTGGCCTCACCAAGGCCAAATACAGCAGGAGGATAACATTCTGGGATTTACTTGAGAAGCATCTATGGATGCAAGCCAGAGTTTTGATCATTTTACCAGCTGTGACATCGCATTGGTGGCTCATATTCATCTTCTGGTCAATCATAACCCCCAAGTCCCTTTTGGCCGTGGTGGTAGTAAGCATAGCACTGCTGAGCCTATAAGTGTGATGCAGGGGTGGGGTTTTCCCCAAGGTGGAGTACCTTACATTTTTCAGTGTTGAACGCCATCAGGTTTTTGTCTGCCCATTTTCCATGCCTGTCAAGGGTGGCCTGGATCACCATCATGTCCTCAGGTGTGGACGCTTTATCCCAAAGTTTGATGTCAATGGCGAACTTGGCCAGTCCGCTTCTGATACCAATGTCCACATCATTGATAAAGATGTTAAAGAGTATAGGCCCCAGGATGGAGCTTTGGGGGGCCCCACTGGTCGCGGAGCACCACGATGATTTACTTCCATCAACTACCACTCTCTCGGTCCAACCTCAGAGCAAATTCCCCAGCCATCAGACTGTGATGCAGCCGAGGCCACAATGGCCAATTTTTTCCATGAGAAGATCATGGGACACCAGATCAAAAGCTTTTTTAAAGTCAAGATATATGACATCAATCTCTTCTCCCTTGTCCAGTTGATATGTCACCTGGTCACAGAAGGAGATGAGATTGGTCAGGCAAGACCTATCCGCAACAAATCTGTGCTGACTATCCCTCAGGATGTTACCATCAGCCAGTTTGTCAAGAATGGTCTCCTTGATTTTTTCCAAAATCTTCCCTGGGATAGAGTTCAGGCTGATAGGCCTGTTGTTCCCTGGATCTACTTTCCTCCCTTTGTTGAAGATAGGCACCACATTGGTCTTCTTCCAAACTTCAGAAACTTCATCTGAGTGCCACAAGTTCTCAAACATCTGTGCCAGTGGCTGAGCCATGACGCCTGCCAGCTCCTTAAGTACCCTGGGGTGCAAGCTGTCTGGGCCAGCTGACTTGAAGGTGTCTAGCCTCTCAAGGTGTTCTTTCACATGGTCTACATTAATGAAGGGTAAAAATTCTCCCTCACCCTGGCCATCCCATACCATATTGAGCAGGGCCATGCCTTGGGGATGGTGAAAAACTGATGCAAAATACCCATTAAGCAAGTTGGCTTTTTCCTGGGTGTCGGTTGTCCCATATGGTTTAGTAGGGGCCCAATGTTACCCTTGCTTTTCCTTTGGCTCCCCACATCTAAAAAAATACTTTTTATTGTCTTTGATACATGTAGCCAGTTGGAGTTCAGTCACAGCCTTGGCTTTCCTGGTTCAAGTTTGACACCCTTGATCTATTGTCTTGTCATAAGCCAAATCCTAGATTAGCTTTTACCTACTCTCCACACAGGTAAACAGTGAATAAACAATCCATAGGAAGTGTTTGAGGAGAAAACAGTTCAAACCTTTAGCCTTTTGTTATCCTTCCTAAACTTATTTTCTTTTCTGTTTCTGTTCTCTTGTTATCTGCTCTGTCAGTGACCTCCCAATCTCAATTTTCTTTCTCTATCTCTGCCTTCTCAGCCACAGGTTCAACCATTTTGGTTAGCAGACCAGCAAATAGGTCTTTAAATAATGCAAGAGAGGAAAAGGCAGAAAAGCTGAGATAAAATGGATATAGCATCTTTTCTGGAAGTCATAAAACACAAAAGACAGAGTTCACAGCTGATAAAAACCAATCCTTTATGAACTAAGAAATTTGCATTCCAACTTCATAAAAACAGCCCTATGCATGGTGCCCAGTCATGCACACAAGGCTCTCACATACAACATCTCAGCAGTGAGTAGATAAAAATAGTTTGCATAATGCTCAAAAATGAGACCACACCAATTAGGCAGCCAGCAGGCTGTAGTGCTAAAACAGCTTGTCCAATTAACTTTAGCCTTTCTCCAGATTGTCTCTTCTGGTCATAGACTGAACATGAGAAATTTCACTATAAAGGGGCTTTTTCCCAAAAAAGTTAGGATTTGGGTTTTGGGTATTTTTTTGACAGGGAAGTTCTTTTTTTCATTTTGTTTAAAATCATGTTTGAATAGAAACAATTTTCCAATATTACAGTCATCCCATACTTTCAGACAAGGATACTGTAAAGCTGCATGCATGGAAATCAGAAGCACTATAACTATGAATTGTTTATAGTCACTTCAGGTAGAGAAAAACAAAGGACTTTCAGTCTACCTATACATGAAGGATTACTTTGTTTCTTGTACCATTTGAACAGTTTTAGCAGAAAAAAATGCTTGAAGTCTTCTAAACCTTTATTTATTCTTTCTTGCAGGTTCTACACAAATAGAGACTAATCAAGTATAGTCAGGAAATGTTTAAATAAACAGGAAATCTGTATAACAATGATAGATTTCAACATTTCAGAATGGGCAACACAATGACAGGCATTTAAGTAGTTCTTTTCCTGCACATGAACATATATTTGGGGTTCATGACTTTTACCTTGTGCACTTCCAAGTTTCAGTGACATAATAGTTCATTCTTTAAAAACAGATCTGTATTTCAACAGGCTATGAAGCAAAGATGTGAAACTGCAAGCCAGTTTTTTTCCCTCCTGGTAGCAGGAAGTAAAAACTGACCGTTTTATGGAAATACAGCTCAAAAGACAGTATTGGCAACTGCTTAGATTGCCTTTCATACTCCTTTCCAGCCAGTAACTCAAATGTAGCAAGTCTGTAGAAAGGGAGCTAAAAATCAGAGCATGTAAGAAAAGGAGTGCAATAATGCTAAAATATTGCAAAGAAAGTTTGTTTTCTAAATGTAAGGTAGAAGGGGACAACTTTTAATTCTCCTTTCTTTAATTTTACTGAAGAATACAAGGAGGTTAGGGTTTCCAGCAAGTAATTATTTCACGTTAAGAGTGTTCTTATTTTTTGCTGCATGTGTATATATATTGCAAGCTGCACCCAAAATTAAATTAAATTATGCATGCACCTACAAAACAGAATAGGAATACTACACACTATGATAATACAAATTATACAATGAATACTATACCATCACCTGTTTTTAAAACTTACTTGATTTGCAAATGTAATCCAGAAACTAGGTTTTCTAAATAGGGGCAACTACATTCCCAAGGTTGGTGAGGTTTTTATAATGCAAGTCTATGAGTCATTAATTTAAAAATATATACTTTTATCTCTAGATATAGATCAGATGCAAATATAGCATAGCATATCCTTGGAATAATGAACAAATTATGAAAAAAGAAAAGGGGAGATGAAATTATGAATATACATAATTTCTATATGTTTAGAACCTGCAAAAGTTTAGGATGGTTAATGTCATATGCTCTCTTGATGAAAGCACCAATCCACAGGCCTTCATTTAGCTTACAGGAAAAGTCTCACCTTTTCAGCTTTTCCTTCAACAGGAAAGTGCCACTTACTGAGTTCACACTATTGTATTTAATGAATCAATTATTTTCTTACCTCCCTTTGAAAGAAATTCCAAGCATGGGTAAGCCACTGGTATCTAGGTAGGCCATAATTGGTCATCCTGGCTTTTAAAGTGACCATATCTGACCATTGTACTGGGACCTGAAAAGAGACAAAATGTTTCAAACAACTAGAAAGACTCAGAGCTGTCTAAACTGATGGTGCTCAACCTTTTTGCCTGGCCCATCTGCGGCCCAGATCTAGCCACTGCTCCCAATCCAGTGCCTGGGCAGGCACAGGAGTAACCATCTGGCCCATGGGGGGAGGGCGGGGAGGGGGATTAGGCTGCAAGCCAGCCCCAATGCAGCCCCACAGAGGAAAGAAGCTTTACCCCACCCCATGGAAATGAAAGGCGGCATTGTGCGGCCCTGTGGGGGAGAAGAGGTGTGACCCAGCCCTGCCCCAATGGGCGGGAAAGGGGCATGGGCCAGCCCCACAGGGAAAAGGGC